ATGACGATGTGATGCTTATTGTCAAAGAATTTTGTATGACGCTGCACGCTAACGTGCAAATTGCGAAGTGAGATTAGTAAGAGACCAGGAAAGCTTCCCTACCTATGTGTCTGGGGCGGCAGCACTTGTCCTTCCTGTAGCTGCTGCTGCTCCACCAGTTGTCGCCACCGTACGCCGCCGGCCACTCCTGGCTGCCGGCGCGTGTCTTGAGCTCACTATCCTCCGTCGTCTTGCCTAGATGTCCTCAGGGCACGCTCCTTCGCTCGCCATTGACCGAGTCTGTTCAGCCTGGTAGGAGCGGTGCCAGGGATTGGCAATGTCGTCTGATACCGGTGTACCGTACTCCAAACTTGCCCAATAAAATCATTATCGCCACGTCTTTCTCGCCAAATGCTTTCGTGAGCACCTCAAACATCGTATCGTATCGATCCTTCTTGTTCAACGCAGCGGCATGCCTGGACCAAAGATTAAAGTCCCGGCTTAATAAAAGGTTAACCACCATTTTCTTCTCGATAAAGTGGTATTTGCGAATTGGTATTGCGCTCAGCTTTAGTGCCTCGAAGGCATCCCCAAGCGACTCATCGCCCTTGAGTATACTTGCAGTCCTGCTTGATTTAAATACTTTTGATAGCTTCTCGAGGCCGGGGCTATTCACCGAAATCCCCCTCTTTTCTTTATCGTCCACGTCGAGGCTGGAGACTCGCAGAAGTGGTGTTTTCGAATGCGCCTACTGGTGTGTCGACTTGCCTCAGTTTCGAATCCGTTGTAGCGTAGGCGGAGTCAGAACCTACAGAGAGCAATGCAATAACCAATATGACAGCGTAGAGCAGCTTCATCGTCAAGCTTGGGGATTGCATGTTTTCGAAAAACAAAACTGGAAAGTGATACGTTTCGAGTTTCATTTGTATATACCTTTTTCGGCAGCTCACACAAAATTATGTTTACCTGAGTGACTAAACAGCTCTTTATGGGCCATTCTAAAAAAGCGCTACTAAACGCCTTCATCATTCACTGTACACTTTTACAAGCCACGCTGCACGCTGCAGGACGATAGTTCCACTCTAGCTGCAGCAGGAAGCCTTGTATATCTTTACAGGTCAACACCGGCGCTAGCGACAGATTTTAACTGATATTTCACACACTAAAGCTGCATGACATAGCACGCATATGTATAGCAGCGTTCGGCTGTCTTTATCTCTCCAATACAAGTAATTGCTGGCGGAATGTCAGCCTTCATCTCGAGGATAACCAGGATTCCAACAGCTGACGTTGAGCTGCTTGGTGATGTATTTTTTTACAGCAGCAACAGTGCCGAAATATAAGAAATTAATCGTAGTATTAGTAGCCGAATACATGTAGCTGGTACAAGATAATCCTCTTTGAAGTGGTATCTCAAACGGAAGCTGGAGTGAGCCCTATTTTGTATCTTTTAGACATAAAGTACTACTTCGAAGTATTCTTTTAGCAACCAGATTTTGTGGTTTATACTTGTACCAGTTGGATAACTAATTCTCTAGCAAACACGTCTCACTATGCGGTATAGTCCCGTTTGCCATTAACAATAGCTCCATACTTTGCTATCTGTAGCCGGTGCTACCAACGACCCGGCTACCATTCGCTGACGGTGTTTCGCAGCGCATCGTGAAGCTCTGATAGTCCACAGAAACGTCAGCGGGGGGCCGTACGAGGTCGAGAGAGCTATCGATGCCTACATGTATTTCGTGGGTAATGCGCTGGGCTATTGGGAGGCGGACGTGCGAGCGAGAAGCGCCCATCGATCGTGCCCAATATGCAACAAACAAGCGTGTATTGACAGCAATAATAATAGCTAGTTTCTTTTTTAATGTTGCCGAAATGACCATCACTCCTGAAAATTTTAGCTCTCTGATTGAAAATGACCCA